TCTAACCTGAGAATGAAACTGATCGATTATTGGCTGATTATTGATTGATTGACTCAGTCCTACCTGAGTCACGTGGTCAGCAGCTCGCGCCGCATCGAAGCGTCTTTAAACCGAACCTGAGCGCGCGCGCCGAGCATCTGCCGCGCGTCCCCGCTCCCCCCTCGCCGCCGCCGCCGCCACGAGCGCTCGCTCCCGTCCTCGGCGTCGCGCCTCGCGGTCCCGTCTCATCCGTCCGTCGGCCGAACCGAAGCTCGGCGCAGCAGCGACGGAGGCTTCCGGGCCGTAGCGGCTCCGGTTCGGCGCCGCGTCACGTTCCGGGCTCCGGCTTGTTGTTGTTGTTTTCTCGCTGCAAACGGTGAAGATGGCGGCGGGGGCGGGATGGCAGCCGCCGTTCAGCGGCTCCGTTGCGGGAAAACACAGTCCGCCGTCCGGATGCTTCTACGGCGGCGGGACGCTGGAGTACACCCAGGAGCTGCACCTGAAGATGAGCAAGAAGATCGCTCAGCTGACCAAGGTGAGTCCGGTCCGGAGGTCCGGAGGTCCGCGGGTCCGCAGGTCCGCAGGTCCAGGGGTCACATCCTGCTCCCCGGAGGGAGGCTGCACCGTTACGTAAGGCTCCGGATCCGGGAGCTCCGGATCCTGGACCTTTACATAACGGAGCCGCTGCTGCAGGTTCGGAACCAGGTTCAAGTTGAAGGAAACAGCCTGCAGCTGAGAAGCTCGGTTGGTCCAGTTAGAGGAGAGAACTGACCCAGAGCCGACGAGCCCGGTTCTGTTGGGCATCGGAACCACATCAGACCAGGTCCAGTTCGGATCAGGGCTCCAGACTCCTGACTGGTGGAAACACAACAGTCAGGAGGTTTCGTGAAACCAGGTCCAGAGCTGAAACCGCTGCAGGCATCAGGGTCTAATCTGGACCAGATGATCACAGGGAGGCCAAAGACCCGATAGACCAGGTCCAGGTTGAAAATCACACAGTATAGAATCGGGTCAGACCAGGACCAGATCACCAGGAAGACGATAGAGGTTGTTCAAGATCCAGTTTCTGGTTTGTGAAAATGCAGCTCAGTGAGATTTCTCCATGTTTTTACATCAAAACCGCATCAGACCAGGTCCAGATAGGATCACTGAACTGGTTCGGGTCTAATCTGGACCAGATTCTGGACCAGGGAGGCGACAGACTGGTTCAAACAGCTTCTGAAAGCTTTGTTCTGTGAGTGAAAACACAACAATAAGGAGATTTCTCTGCTTTTTTACTCCAAACACGTCAGACCAGGTCCAGATTTTAAAACAACGACGTAGAAACGGGTCACATCTGGACCAGATCGTCCCACTTTCTGGTTTGTTCAGCCTTTATTCTCTTTGTTTAATATAAAAAAGAGGGATTTCACTGCTTGATTTTGCTTCTAGACCAGATCTAGATCAACAGTCCTGATATCTAGACCGGTCTGATCTGGACCAGATCATCACAGAGAGGCTAAAGACTCATTAAACACCGGGTCTGATTCGTGTAAATTCTTTTTTTTTTTTCTGGTTTTGAAGCACATTACATCAGATTGAACAAACTTTATTGTCCGTGCAGAGCGACACGACCAACCATCATTTCCAGGACGTGGCGGTAAAATCAGAATAAACCAGATTTAGAAATTAGTGTCGCCGCTTTGAGCTCCGTCTGAGCTCCAGAGTCTGTAAAATACACTTTGTGACTTTTTTATTCTGTTTGTGACGTTTAGACGAAAACAATAAAGGTTTTACAAACGTTTCACCGGAAGCTGCTGGAAAAAAACCCACCGGCGGTCCTCCTGCGCCGTCCGACCGGATCTTTAAAAACACCGCCGGTTATCTGAAGTGTCGTCGTGGCAACGGGAAGCGCTAATCCCACCACGTTGTGACGTTGGTGACGTCGTGGCCATTTTTCAGGCAAATACAGTAAAAAAAAAAAAAAAACAACTGCAGGATTTTAGAGTTTAAATGTGAATAAGTAAAGAACAGTGACGGTTCTGGTCCGGACCACGGATGGAAGGCGGACGTCTCCGGTTGCTGTGTGCGGCTGTGGATCCGGACGTCTTTGCTTTTTGTACACTGAAGGTGTTTCTGCAGAGTTCTGTTGGCTGAGCGGATCGGCGCCGATCATCGGGCCGGGCGGGAACGACGCGGCGAACAAAACGCAGGAGGAGTCCAGTCGTGACCCGATAGTCTGAGTCTGAACTCAGAAATGTCGTCCATAAAGCAAAACTGCCGGAAATCACCCCCCAAAAAAAAGTAAAGTTGAATTAACGTACACGTGCCGTAGATTTTTATAGATTTTTTTTACGCTGCTATAGTGAAGTCGTTACCTGAAACTGTAAAAAGTTCAGATTTACTACCTTTCGCAGGTCCTTGAACTGCTCATCAGAAAACGTAATGCCTTGTTTAGAAATTTTCTAAAAATCAACGGTTTGCTGTAACTTGATTCTGTAAAAAACAAAAAATTCTTCGATCCTCGTGAAGCCTGGAGTGACTCGGCTGAGACCGGCGGCCGCGCAGTAAAAAATCTGGGATTGTCAGCTGAACTGCAGGCTGTGTGCAATACAACATCTGAGAAATTTGTCTTTTCTTTTTTGTTTTTTTAAAAAAATGATTTTTGGCGTTAAAACTGCGCCAAGCTGCAGAGAAAACACCTGAACTCTCTGTGCTGTTTCCATAAAGGTGCAGGAATTTATCTTACTGTGAGAAATGAGCCCAGGAACCAAAGTTGTGCATTAAATTGTATGTTTGCACCTAAAAGCCTGAGTTTAAGTGAAGCTGCTTCCATCAGACTCCAGTTTTGTTCAAACTTGTCCACTAATTATTGATTTTTTTCCCAAGAGGCTGCATTAAAGTCCTCCACATTCTGACATCTTTAACTCGTTTATTTGCTTTTACGGTGAAGACAGTCGTCCAGCTCACATTCAGAGCGACGTCCTGTCTGCAGACGTTCCCGCCGTCGGTTTGTGTTTATTTGATAATTATCGAAGAACTCGAAGCCTTGAGGCGAACCAATTTGCAACAAATATGAGATTTCAAGGCTTCAGAGATTGTCTTTGAGAAGGAAACGCGTCTGAATGTCTCGGAGCCGCTTTTGATAAATTGACCTCTTAATTAGAAATCCATCACGTTCTCCGGTTCCATCCTCGTCTCCGCAGATCATCCGAGAAGTCCCTGAATTTTATTAACGTGTGTGTCGGTCGCAGCTGAGTCGCGAACGGCTTCACGGTTCCGTCGGGAAGTGCAGAATTTTATTTATTTTTTACAGAATCCGGTTCGAACAAACAGTCTGTAAACGGCACATTTATAAGCTCAGATTTATTTATTTATAAGCTCAAAAAAATTATTTTTTTCTTTTTTTTTTTTTTTTTTAAACGGCACATTTATAAGCTCAGATTTATTTATTTATAAGCTCAAAAAAATTATTTTTTTCTTTTTTTAAAAAAATTATTTGCGTTGCCTCTTGGTGGTTGCGTTGCCTTCCGGCGGCTGCGTTGCCTCCTGGCGGCTGCGTTGCCTCTCGGTGGTTGCGTCGCCTCCCGGCAGCTGCGTTGCCTCTTGGTGGTTGCGTTGCCTCTTGGTGGCTGCGTTGCCTCTCGGTGGTTGCGTTGCCTCTCGGTGGTTGCGTTGCATCCCGGCGGCTGCGTTGCCTCCCGGCGGCTGCGTTGCCTCCCGGCAGCTGCGTTGCCTCTCGGTGGTTGCGTCACCTCTTGGTGGTTGCGTCACCTCTTGGTGGTTGCGTTGCCTCCCGGCGGCTGCGTTGCCTCTCGGCGGCTGCGTTGCCTCTCGGTGGTTGCGTTGCCTCCCGGCGGCTGCGTTGCCTCCCGGCGGCTGCGTTGCCTCTCTGTGGTTGCGTTGCCTCTTGGTGGTTGCGTTGCCTCTCTGTGGTTGTGTTGCCTCCCGGCGGCTGCGTTGCCTCTCGGCGGTTGCGTTGCCTCCTGGCGGCTGCGTTGCCTCTCTGTGGTTGCGTTGCCTCCCGGCGGCTGCGTTGCCTCCCGGCGGCTGCGTTGCCTCTCGGTGGTTGCGTTGCCTCTCGGTGGTTGTGTTGCCTCTTGGTGGTTGCGTTGCCTCCCGGCGGCTGCGTTGCCTCTCGGTGGTTGCGTTGCCTCCTGGCGGCTGCGTTGCCTCCTGGCGGCTGCGTTGCCTCTCGGCGGCTGCGTTGCCTCCCGGCGGCTGCGTTGCCTCCCGGTGGTTGCGTTGCCTCTCGGTGGTTGCGTTGCCTCTCGGTGGTTGCGTTGCCTCCTGGCGGATGCGTTGCCGTCGGACTGAGCGATGCGACGTCGAGGGATCGCACTCAGACCGCAGCACCTCGGAGAGCCCGGCCTCCATTCGTCCTTTAGTTAGCGACTATGACGGTCATCCTCCGACGGCGACGCGAGCCGAGCGGCAGAGTTTCGTTCCGGCCGAGTGCTGCAGCCGCTCGCCACCGTTTCCTGTGAATTGATCGACATTGATCGAGCCCCAGAAGCGTCGCTGCCGGAGGAACTGTTGTCGTTTTTTACCGTCATTCCTCTTTCGGCGGCTCTTTGACATGTTGCTGATTAAAGCTGATGACAGAAGGCGCCTCAGAGGTGATGAACGCAGCCTGATTGATCACAGATCTGGAATCGACTGAGATGATGTCACCCTGACACGAATAAAACGATGCAGTGAAGAGCTTTTACTTTTGTTGCAGCCCAGACTCGGGATGCTAATCAGTTCATTGATTATTGACATTTAATGTAGCTGATGCACTACCTGGTGATCAGCTGTAGTACCTGGTTGCGCCACCAGGTGGAGCCTCTTACGGTTTTCGTGAGGCAGAGAGCATTGTGGGAGTTCACTTCACGCCCAGCGACCAGTGCTCTTTGTGTCACGTCATTGAGTTTATAGCAGGAGACAGAACGAGTTTGTTTCATGTTATTGATTATTCAGCTATTGATTGATCATCAGTCAATAAAGCATCGCTCGTCGAGATGAGAGAATCATCTCAGCTGTGACCAGGACTTGTTTTATTTAACTACGCTGACGTTGTAACTGCGGATTTCTTTCGTTGGCTTGTTAATAATCAACTATTGATTAGATCGTGACTGATCAGGATGCGGTGGACAGTTTTATCGTCGAGCTACGTTAAACCGAACACTTTTGACTTTTGCCACGTCAGCGACTTGCACGACTCGTGGAACCCGAAGCCACGACTCGCCCCGGATGTCTTCAGCAGCCAAACTCCCATAATGCTCTCTGCATTCCAAAACAGAACTCGCTGAGGTCCGAGCGTCCGCCTCTTTGGGCAGACTTCTACGTCACGAAGCAGGGAGAGGCTCCCCCTGGTGGAGCAGTCAGGTACTGCAGATGAGCTACCGACACGCTTGTCCTTCATCTTCGGCCTGATTTGGTGAAATATTTTTTATCTTTTGACTTATTAATTGATTAAACGATAATGATTGACATCCCTAACTGTGCATATTGATGTGTACACCCACTCGAGGCCCATTTTAAAGACAAAACAACCGATCGAATGCGGTCCACAGTCGGCATCGTCTTCTGTCGCTGCAGCAGCTGCAGGCTGTCGTCTCGCCTTCAGGCTTGTTTCGGTTGAAGCCTCGGGCCACGAAGCTTCGCTGTGAAACCTGCCGCGGAGAAGAAAGACGGAAACTGTTTGCCGTCGCTCTCTTTTCGTGTCGGCGGCGTCGCTTTCATGTGTTTCCTCTGCGGGAGTGCGCTCAGCTGGTCGATGGAGACGAACGACAACAAAAGCTGCAGCTGAAAAACAGCCTCGGCAGATATTTACAGCGAGTAGCCGTCGCAATGTCGTGTGTCTCTGTGATATATGTTCAAAGAATACTCGGTTTTAAAAGAATGAATTTTTCTAGAATGATTTGGTAAGTCCGTCTGATGAGAAAATGAAATAATAATGTAAAAAGAAAAAAACGCTTTGCCATTCCTTATGACCCTCAGTGCAGGATCCCGCTAACAAATGGCTCCATCGACTTCATTTCTGCGCTTTAAAAAACTCAAATCTGTAAAAATCTGGCAGCAAAGGTGCGAAAAAAAAAATGCTGTGACGTTCAAAAGCACAAAAAAAGTGGTGAAAATGACAGCAAGCAGCAACGCAGCAGAAACCGGGTGTTTTTACAGTCAAACGTAAAAGAATGAAGGTTTTAGAGCAGAACTGATGGTAAACGTGGACATTATGAGCAGCTTCAGGCAGTTTTTAAACTTAAATTAAT